AAATATATTAAATATGTACCTGCTTTTGTGTATTCATCTGCAGCTACGTCATAATCGGGTCTCCACTTCAATAATCCAACCTTTAAACTAAAACACACAATTAATTTTTATAACTTAAAAACAAAAACTTACCTTTTTTCTGCTTGTCGAACTAATTCTTGACCCTCCTCAATTTTTTTAGAAGTCATAGCAAATTTAATTTTGTTAATACTCCTTATCCAAATCAATAATAATTGGGGCAACGATTTTTGTACAGAGCTGCCAAACACAATATTATTGAAACATCTTTAATATTAGCGTGCTGCCACACAACACAACTTTAAAATTCCTTAAAAATAAATTGAAAATTTTTCAATACCACCGGACGTATTATAACTTTTTGATGAAAATTCTTTAATTAACGAATGTGCATCCATAGGCGTCGAAAAACTGAAATTGCTATATCATTTGAATGCACCGACGCGAACATATTATTAGTTAAAGTACATTTAAATGGTGTTTCTATACCACAGTAGTAGTAGCTATGTACTAAGTTCTATACCACAAACCTATACTCTGAACGGATTGAGATAAGTATTACGCCAAATTTTTACCGTTGCTTTTTCTGTTTAGGCTGTGACAGTCGTGACCAAGAATTACAAAATCGAACCGGAGACGCCTACCTTTCACTATAGACGTTCCTATTTTTTTTTTTATAATTTACTAGTCATTTTCCCGCTTTCCTATTTTGCCTATTATCATTATATAATATAATCGTCATGGCGTCACGATGGACTATCTTGTATATATCATTCTTAGATAAGCTCCACACCTTAAACAGAACCTAAAATACTCCCGTAAGTGTATGCGTAGGTTATCATCACTTTCCATAAGTTTGCAGAAGAAGGAAAAAGCGATATGAAATGGAAACTACTCATATTGAATCGAAATTCAAAAGTATTCAAAAATAAGAAGCTTAATTTGACAACGAATGAATAATTAAACTTTTTCATGACCAAAACAGCAAAATGAAGACTTTACTACTCCTTAAATTTCAACTTAAAGCATAACTATCCCCACCTTTTAAACCAAAGTGGTCGTAACAATCGCCCTGTAAGTCTTGGTTTCGTAAAAGCTACAGATATTCTTCCCCATTCTCATCCAGCATCTTTTTTCCACAAGGTGGTTTCGAAATACACATGTCAGTACACTTAACAAATAAAGGAATTTGTCATTCTTAAGATTTATAATAGATTATGTGGAAAAATGGCAACGAGTGGATCTCATCTGGGTGCAGGGTAGAGGTTGAGCTTCTTGGGTACTTTGAGATCTCTAGCTGATCATTCGTAATGAACCATTGCATGCTTATTTACTGTAAAAATAAATAATCAGATTCGAAGTTTTTAATATACAAAACTTATGTAGTTTTGTTCAGTTTTACTGTTTGCTTTGATGTACATATAAAAAGTTGAAGTACATAGCTTTAGGATGAAATATGTATGTATGTAATTTAACTCTTGCGCAGTTCGTTAATATTGATTTTCCTATTGCTTTTTTATATTCACACGAAGTCAGTTAAGCTGTTAACTTAATGAAGTTTTGAATACAGTTAAATTCAGAGAAAATAACTGTTTTATATATCTACATATGTGAACGCAATTTTTTCTATATATTTATTATAACATAAAATATCAAAGATACTCTATAAACCGAGGTAAATATTTTTCAATACGATTTTTAATGAACCTACTCATCAAGTCAACTCAACCTATTACAGCATGTCTCATAATCCTTGTTTCGAACTAAATGAAATCCGGATTTTGGATAAAATTTTAAGGCAATGTGAATATTATATATCAAATAATGGCATGCAGCAAGCACCACAATCTCGTAGTAAAAAAGTGTGCCTTAAGGCAAATAATTTTAATGAATTACTTTTGAATAATAACTTAAACAAATTTGTGGAAAAAGAGTTATTTTCATTTATGTGTAAGCTCAGGAAAATGGACAAGAAAACCATTTTTGTTTCGGATATCCTAATTAATTCCGGTATATTTACGGAAGGTTATGATTACAATAAGTATTCATTAAATACTAAAAATCCTATAAATGTGAATCGATTTATTTATCACAAAATTGCCCGAACAGATGAAAGTGAAAATATAACATATAAAAAGATTAAAAGAAAATTAAGTGAACAACAATCTGACAAGTTTATATATGAAACCACCAAGTGTATGGTTGCTGAGAATATTAGCAAAAGTAAAAAGCACTTTTCGTCATTAAATAAGAATAATAGCGATGATACGAACAGCGGAAATCAATGGAACGTCTATGACGGAAATTGTATGAAATGTGAAGAGAAAAACATACATGCATCTGTGGCACCAATCGAAAAGGATAAATTACACAAAAACAATAATTTTTATGGAAATGATTTAACGTGCAACAAACGAAAAGATAGAATACATAGTCAAGCAAATGTTTTTGAGAAGACTGTATCATATGACAGCGTTCGATCAAAAATATCATCTCAAAACTTTATAAAGAAAAAAATCCCACAGAGGCTTTCAAAAGAGCATACCGATGACATTCCCGACAAAGAACCTTTACTTGGGCCAAAGCCACTGAAATTGCCAGATTCAGTGGAGGCTGTAAGTAAAATATACATATTTAGCATTTTTAATTTATACAAAACTATAAAACAAGAATAATACGAGACTTTGTATTTTCACAATTATCCGTTGCCCGTTTTTGCAAAATTACTTTTGCAGGTCTTGTCATTAGGTTCAACAATTTTACCGGATAAAAAGATTGACAACACAGAATATCACAAATGGACAATATTACACTATTCACCATTCAAAGCTGTTTGGGATTGGATAATATTGATACTTGTGATATATACAGCAATATTCACACCATATGTGGCTGCATTTTTGCTTGGAGAGCCAGATTATCAACGACGAACAAACAAATATATTAACAGTGATCCACTTGTTATTGTAGATTTAATTGGTAAGTTCTTTTCGAAGTGATTTATTCCATAACAGTAGATAGTACACTGTACTATGGTATACTACATAATACTGTAATGTACAATGTATACATATGTACACACATTAAGCATTTAGATTTTCACATCACTCGTAAGCCTTTTGTCAAACAGATGCAAATAACAGACAACCAACTCTGAAACGAGAGGTAAAAATATAAAAGTAGTTTATAGCATTTAAACATGATTAAATTGGACAATATTTATGAATTAAAGTACATAACCCACATACATACATACCCTTGCTACATTAAATAAATCTTTTTTCTAAATTTCAGTTGATGTTACTTTTGTAATTGACATAATCATAAATTTTCGAACTACATTCATTGATGGACAAGACGAAGTCGTCTCGCATCCCGGACGTATTGCGGTTCACTATTTAAGTGGATGGTTTCTAATTGACTTAGTAGCTGCAATTCCCTTCGATCTACTGCTAGTTGGAAGTGATACAGACGAGGTAATTTAATAATTTGTTCAAAATAACTCATGCAATTGAAAATATATGTATCTAGACAATGCAGTTTTCTTACATACCAAATTTCAGTTTTTAGTAACGATAGAAACTTTTTTGTCTTCGCAAAACTCATAAAACACAAATTTCACGGCGTTGGCCTAGGTAGGCGCACTTCTTTATATAACTATCTTAGAGAAATTAGAATTACGCTTCATCTTTCATTACATACATACATATGTTATGATAGATAYGTACAAATAAAATGTGCTTTTGCCAATTGAAAATTTGTAAATTTCTATTTCAGAAATRTAGTTTAATAACATTTAAAATGCCTTTAATTGATTGAACAGGGTATATTAAATTTGGGACGAAGTTTGTAATACAGAAGGAAACGTCAGAGACCCTATAAAGTATATACATACATATGTACGTACATATTTGATCAAAGTGACGAGCTGAATCGATTTAGCCATGCCCGTTAGTCTGTGTGGTCGTCTGATTATACATATATACGAGAACTAGAAACTTTTACCACACACTTTCATCCCCTTCTGCTCTTCTTTACTAACGTAGACACCGCTTACGCGGTTATAGCCTAATGCGTTTCGTTATAACAAATTACAGTTTCGTATCGTTATTTGCGTCATAGATTTGGCGATTTATTGGTTTTCGATTAATGTCGTTTTATAGGCCTGTCACTAGTCCGATTGCCCCCTTATATAATACCAACTTTTTATGCACGGAGCAAGTGTACCAAGTTTCATGAGTGACAACTTACAAGGAAGGACGAACATACAGTCATCCAGATTTCCACTCGTCTTGATAACCTGATCATCTATGTACATATATATATGTACACATATGTATAACCATATATCTAACTTGATTACCTTTAGGATAGAAGCAACCAACTGTTAGGTGAACCAAACTATTATGTATACTCTTTAGCGACATGTTGCAAGTGCATAAAAATCCTTAAAATATATAACAATTTTTTTTTTGACAACACAATCATTCGCTCATATTAGAACGGAACACCTCAGGGCTACTTTTATTACTTTGAATAAGTTCATTATAGTCCACATTAGGTATCCAATATTTATACATTTAAAAAAAGAGGGATACGCCAAAAATATCATTAAATACTTTGAATGACTATACAACAACAACAATTATAATGTATTTGCATAGCATTTTATAAAAAAGAAAGTATGGGAAATAGCTACTTTTATGGAATTGATCTCAACAACGAAAAATAGACTACTTCTTACACGTTGATATTTGAGAATGCAGTTATCAAAAACCATTTTGTACTTTTGTCACATGTTTTTTAGTAGTGCACACAATATTGAGAGAAAAAGTATGCATGCTTCATATTAAATCCATCTTAACTATGTACATTTATTTTGACCAACGTCATTCAACGGTGACCGGTGGTGCCTAGGCCGTTTCAGAGCCTGATCCCTACCACAATTTTTGAAATTTGTGGGAGCGTTCGCCCCTCGACAGGCAGATCTCATCTAGCATGAGAAATTCTGTTCAAAAGGTTCCAATAAAATATGTTCTTATATAAAATGTAATTTTTTTATGAATTTCATGTAATTAAAAGTTTAATTGATTCCATGTTATTAAAATAAGATTTCAAATAAAATTTAAAATTCATATTCATAAAGAACTCGCATATATATGTATCTCTTTCTTATAAGTATAGTATATACCATAATCATTGAGCTGCGCACATTATGTTTTCCAATTAAAGGGAACTTTAGCGATGGACTAYCAGCATCACAAACAGTAACTCTTTTTACTTATTAAAAAAAACGAAACTACATATATTCGAACTGTATTTATTATTTTAATTATTTCTTCTTCGTTTAATTTTTACGTGAAAAAATTAAAATATCTGACAATCGAGTAGACCAAGGAGCAGTTCTTCGCTTTTTTTGTATATAATATTACATAGTAGGATTGAATAAACTTATAAACTTTAATTATATATACATACATATATATATATAATGGTTATATGATATGCATGTATGCAACATACATATATATAATATATATATACACATGTACAATAACTGAACCGGCAATAATAAATAGCGCACGTATGGTCTCATAACCGTCATATATTTTCAAAGGGAATTGTTCTCATATCCCATATACATATGTATGTATGTACATATGTAGGGGCACAAGTACATTTCCGAAAATACTAAATATACATACATGTTTACATTATAAAAGAGTAATGTCCATACTAAAAAATTATTTAGCTGTACAGCTAGGTCAACACCTGAGCATGGTGTACCACACCACTTTGTAATTTACTGAAATACTTAATTTTAAACATGATAAAGATAAATTAAGCTAATTGTTGGAAAAAAGTTATTTTTGGAATTAAAGAAAAGTACATACATATATTATCTAAATAATTTTGCAAATATTTTCAAATCTTTTGTATGTTTAATTTTTGTAATTTTTTATGTGTCCAATGTTTTACAGCTCGGCTTGGATAATGAAGAGGTATTATTAGTGAATAATTCTTTCTTTAAAGAGCTTTTGAGCGCAACTACTTTTTTATGTTTAAGCAAATTAAAAATGCTGTATTCTTACCCAGTAGCTTCAATTCCACAAATATACACGTCTAAGTATATAATTTAACACATTGTGCGTGCTATTTCAATTGCAAATGGTTCTTATTACTTGTCGCAATATTCTTTATTATCGCCATTAAACAAAAAAATTGCCGAAAACATTCATTGGCACATTTTCTTAGAAAAAAATAAACAAGGTATACGATAACAAAAGAAATCGTTACGTTTTACAAAATTTATTTAAATGCGAAAAAATGTGTCCAATAATAGCAGAAAAGTTCTTGTTAGCGCTGCTACACTGTATGGAGCACCAGGAACACCTATATATGATATGAAACTTTTTTACTTTATTCATGTATGTATGTATGTACATATGTATAAAGAGTGCATTACATACTATTAAAAAATCATACAAGAATAATCCGTTACATTTAGAATATCTATCATCAACTATCATCAACTACATATTTTAAATGACAAGTAGATTTACATTAATTTGATTAACTTTAAGTATTATTTTTTTAAATTTTTTAATAATATGCATTAAACCAAAACTGTCAAATCGATTGGTGATTTCATTGAATTTCTCAAAGGCCCTAAGAATTGAAAATCATATCCATCTCTTAAATTATTGCGAATTCTTTCTACTGATTAATTTATGAAATGTGATACTTTTTAGAACTCTCTTTGCCTGTCGAGGTTGTTTTTTCCAATTCAGTGTCTCGGAATAGAAACCGGTACGTTTATGTGGTTACTGTTAACAATTTAATGACTTCCAACTAAGCTTAAACAGAATATAAACGTGTAGTATGTGGCAATTGACAAATTATAAAGAGTATACGTGAGTGAATCTGACCATACATATTTCTGAGTACATATTTTTTCATCCATTTCAATATCGATTTGAACAAAATAAAACCTGAATGTGGATCTCAATATACATATACATATACCCAATGGTCTTTTGCAAAGCTAAATTTTTATTGAACCCGCTTTATACGAACATTTTATAAATAAAAAGGACTTTCAATTTCAAAAATTAGGCAGTAAATATTGTAATTTGTATGCTTAGCACATCTTGCACATAGGAATTCCATTTTGGTATTAATTAACAATTTTAATATTCTTTTACATCAATGCATGTGATCATAGATATTTTGTAAGATATTAACATTCAAAGCGAAATTGTTGATTGATTGCAAATGAAAAGAAAACAATATACGCACTTATCTACACTTATAAATTTCGTTTACCAATTTCCGGGGTATTCCGAAAATCCCACCTTGCACACTTTGCTTTTAAAATCACTTGCCCTTAATTACAACTTTGCGTTAAATGATATAATATTTACATTTTTTGCAGACAACCACTCTAATAGGATTGCTCAAGACTGCCCGACTACTCCGGCTCGTGAGGGTAGCGAGGAAAATAGACAGATACTCAGAATATGGTGCCGCTGTATTGGTTCTGCTCATGGCAACTTTTGTACTGATCGCCCACTGGCTAGCTTGTATTTGGTATGTATGTATATTTACCTCACATACGATTTAAAGACATCCTTGAGAACACCCATATGTATATTTATTACTAAAAAATAATAATTAATTTAAATAACATACGCATCATTTTGTGTTTTTAGTAAAGATATTTGTACACATGTTCAAAAAAATTTCTTTAATGTTGAATACTCCATATATTTGCATTTGTAGGTATGCTATAGGAAATGCGGAGAGAACTCTGTTAACAAAAAACATTGGCTGGCTGCATTCATTAGGAAATGACATTCAGGAGCCATACTTTGATAATAACACTGGTGGACCGACAATTAAGGTATAACATACATATGTATATTTTATTCCCATACATAAAAATAAATATTTTAGTCAAGGTATATTACTGCGCTGTATTTTACATTTACATCGTTAACCTCTGTTGGATTTGGTAATGTTGCTCCAAATACTGACGCTGAGAAAGTTTTTACAATATGTGTAATGCTTGTGGGCTGTAAGTACAATTAATTAACTTGCGTTATGGATGTGTGTATGTACATATTTTTGTGGAGCATGTTATTCAATGATATGTTAATAAATTCATGATAGGAACAATTTTCAAATAACGAATTTCGTTATATTCACTAAATGTGAAATATTTAGTCTTCACCAGACTTGATCCCTTACTTGCCCGGGTATGTTATTTGTATTTTGTTATAAATTAATCAAGGAAACAGATTTCCTCAATTATTCAAATTCAGTATCAAACGGGATACATTTCCCTTTGATTTAATCCATGAAAACTTTTTCATTTAGGTTTTAAGCACGTAAATGCTAAAGCTTATTAGTATCTAATATATTAATAATTTCGATCCGCATACACTTGGAATAAACCGTTCATAGTACACATAATATTAGCCATAACAAGAGAGAATTAAAATGCAGTTATTTAAGTTATTGATTGTCGTAGTTGGATGAGTGCCGCTTAGTTCCCTTCTCATCAAATCCATTAATATACAACACCACAAAGAGGAGAAGTTAAGTGTGTCAATAATAAGGTGTATTCGACACAAGGAAAAATGAAGATTATTATATGTAATATAGTATGAGAGTTGGGGTAGTATCGACACGTTTTTCTCTATTTCTCCTACTACTAACTTTCCACATAGTACTAAAAAATGGGTTTCATAAAGTATCTCACATACACTCTGTTGTCTACACTGGAGTAAAATCAGCCGGATATTGGAAAATCCTGATATTAGTTATATGGAGGCTAGATCAAGTTTTCGCCCAATTTTATCTATTTTAGACATAATGATACACTGTTATGAGTAAAACACGCTTGGTTATGGCCTTTTATATGTTTTCGACTAATAACGTTTTGTGGTCCGATTGTTCTTGTTCAGTCACCCGGATCATTTATTTATATGTAACCCTATATGCAAGAGTATAAAAATAGCTAGAATAGGATTATTATTAATTTGAATATCTAATCTATATTAAATTTGGTTATTCTCAATATTTACAATACTTGTAATATGACAATACATTTAAATGGGAAAATATTTTAAACATTAGAACAGTGCTTTCTGCACTGGAATATACATATAAGGGTCATAATCGGCACCCGAAAAAGTTTCAATTTCAACAAAACACATTGAAACCTCGTTCTTTGTGTACTTGGGTTATAATAAATATAGCTGTTCTGAAAGTGTTTATGTTCCTCCTTCAGCGCTCCAATATAAAAACCCCTTAAATTTTTTAGCTCTTATGTATGCGAGCATATTTGGAAATGTTTCTGCAATAATACAAAGACTTTACTCGGGTACTGCCAGGTATCATACACAAATGTTGAGGGTGCGTGAATTTATTAGATTTCATCAGGTAATCCAACACTTTGTAAAAAAGGAAAAATATGTTCATGAAGCAAGATTGAATACTTAATTTTAGATTCCAAATCCACTTAGACAGCGTTTAGAGGAGTATTTTCAGCACGCTTGGTCTTACACGAATGGCATCGATATGAATTCAGTTCTAAAGGGGTTTCCAGAATGTCTCCAAGCCGATATTTGTTTGCACTTAAATAGAAAATTGCTAACAACGTGCTCAGCTTTTGCGGGAGCCAGCCCCGGTTGTCTGAGGTAAGAACATACATACATACATATCCATAAAAGTAGTTATGTAGTAAGTATTCGCTTAAATATTATAGATGTACATAATTGTAAATCATTATTTAAGAGAAAGCAGCTCAGTTGTGTTTGCAGAAATAATTGTAAACAATAAACATTTATATTATTTTTGCTAATTATTTTACAGAGCCCTCTCTCTAAAATTTAAAACTACTCATGCACCTCCTGGAGACGTTTTAGTTCACAAAGGAGACGTTTTAACTTCATTATTTTTCATAGCAAGGGGTTCAATAGAGATACAAAGGGATAACAGCACCGTCGTAATTTTAGGTACGGCATCTCAACCAAATGACTTTACACCACGATTTTATTTTGTGATTTAATGAGCAGTTAATTTAAGAATCCGTTATTGCTTTGGAATTGATGCTACAAATTGACGCACATCTTGAGTGTCGCTTTGTATAGTATTTCTGTCAATAAGCCACGGAAATGATAGACATGTATAAGTAGAAATGCATATGTATATACATATGTACTATTATGACTTCAAATTRCGCATTACACTTACACATTACATATACACATACGTATATTTATTTTTAATTTTTAGGCAGTCACACCCTACTTAGTTTAAAATCGGTTATATTTTAGCTCCTAATCTGGATATGGAATTTTAATTTAAAATTCACTTGTTATTTAGGTAAAGACGACATTTTTGGAGAAAATCCCTGCAACTATGCAACCATAGGAAAATCGAATGGCAATGTCCGTGCTCTAACATACTGTGATATCCATAAAATTCACAGAGATGATCTGTTAGATATATTAGATTTATATCCAGAATTTTCAGAAAGTTTTGCCAATAATCTTGTTTTAACATATAATATGCGAGATGTAAGTAATTATTTCGGAATGATTTTATGTTTTAAAAATGCCTTTTTTCTTTAAGGACTTTCAAGCTGGAGTCGAAGTAAAACACAGATATTTAAGAGCAAAATCTTTAGACAGAGAAAGAAGTACCAGTGATATAACATCTATACGAATGTAAGTAACAAATTGCCGAAACGTACAAGAAACGTACGTTACACTGCACCCGATGTTAATTTACAGAATACGATAACCGAGCGAATCTTTCACTTTCAGTTTTGGTATTCATCAAAAAAATAGATCAAAAGGAAATTCCGGTCCAACAAAGGTTCAAAATAAAGAAGCAATAAATGATGGGAAGGATCCTTCAAATTACCAGTTTGATATTCAAAACAAAGGTATTTAAATAAATAAATATTACGATATATGATCTACAAACTACTGCTTATATTTGATACAGATGATATTGAAAACATGCATGCAATATATAAAAATACAAAACATAGACCAGCTTCTCTTAATCGGCATAACTTATCAAAAAGTAATCTTCAAGAAAATAATAAAAACCACAAAATTAAATATATAAATGAAATGAATTTATCCACATTTGAAAAGCAAAAACAAAGAGCCACTTGGCTTCGTCAACACAAATTATTCAGTAGCACTGCGCAAGAAAAGGTCTTGCAAGATGCCTCACTATATTTGGATCAGCAAAGAACTGCTGTCCACACAAGGTAAGTTGTTTTCCGCAACTTTTTCGTAAAAATTAAGTATTTATATATGTATATTTGGATGTATGCTTGTAACTATGGCTACAATGACCTAATGTTTTTAAATAAAATTTTTATGTAATTCAATCTCATAGAGACTCTGTGAAATGCAACGTATTTTCTGAAAAAGCCTTACCTACTCCAAACGCAACCATAGCAACTACGGAGTCATGGGATGAACTTGACAGTGTATGATTGACTGTAATTGTTTCGCAAATTTTAGATAAAAAAAATTTAATAAATAATAYCACCTTGAAGTGAAAAGAAAAGTCGTGCACATGCGAAGTGTTTTGGTTTTTACTGTGTTAGCAATCGCGATTCTAAATGTTTGTTGTTCTTCTAGCGGTTTGAATAGCCGTCCAATCCAAAGTCCAAAAAACAAGCGAAGGTTACTACAGGCTTACGAGGTAACACTGCAGAAGTGTCCGTAAACACTGATGTTCGTTAAATRTCCTACTACTTAATCTCAGGTGATCACTAGGGACTGTTTAGATATGACCAACTGAGCGGCAGATTACCTTATTTTCAACAACGATCTCATTTTCAAGTGCTACCGATGTTTGGTGCCTAAATGTATTTTGAATAAAATTTTACCTCGAAATTCTTTTGTGCTTGTCGCTCTCTCAAATAAGTCGCAGCTGAGATCAGGAGGAAGTGTAGAGATATCAATTTCCTAAGATTCATTAACAAAAACTAGGTTATTATTTTCCGAACCGAGTATATGACAGCGACCGGCTGGGGTAAGAGACTTATGGAGCGGACATCGAAAGCATCGCGGACTTAGGTAGGACTTTAACTATCAAGGGCATTGCAAATGTGCCCAAGAGTAGCGATAGAGGTTATGCTGGAGCTGGTCAAGGATTGTCATTTAAGCAGCATTCCTACGAATTGCTTTAGAGATGTTTTCTGCTGCTGCAACTACAACGAACTTGCCCGCTCTGTGACTTTTTTATATTTTTCAGCTTCAGATCTATTAGTTGGGACAGTGTTGTTGTTACTGTTATGTAATGTTGCCATCGAAGTCATTTAACGTGAGGTCCAGTTCTCAACGGGGTCACGGGACGTATTAATTTTTTCTTATAGCACCTTTGTCTTAAATATCTGTAATTACTAATTGTCTGAAACACACTGTACCTCTTCATATTACAATTTCATGTTCATTTGTTCTGGTTGAAATTTATAGTTATAATGATCCGTTTGCGTGGAATTACCTCGATTTTAACACGATTTTTATCGTCAGTTCAACAAAACAACGCCCAGCAGCAAATACACCAGTTATTAATTGGCAGATTTCCTAAGGAAAATATAAAGTCAAAGTCATATAATCCGCTTTCTAAAACAAAATATTTACTCTTATAGGCAAGCGTCAACGTTGTAGATGTATCTGGAGGTTGTGGTGCTATGTTTGAGGTGTTTGTGGAAGATAAAGAATTTGAAGGTTTATCCACTTTAAAGCAACATAAATTGATAACACAAACATTAAAAGAGCAAATAAAAAATATGCACGGTGTTCGCATACATACATCAATACCAAAAGCCAAATGATGCAACTTTATTAATCAAATCTCAATGCCATGGTTGAAGCAAACAAGTTGTTATGTAGTTTTAATCTGCTTTCAGTAACATTAGTGAATAAACGAGAATACAACAGGGTGTACGAAATGTAAACGAAAATTTGTATAGAAATGTTAGCGAGTTAAAAATCCAATAATTAAAAATTAATTGTTAAACTTTTATTTCGCATTTACTTTAGTACATCATTAACTGCAAATTGGTGTGGGGTGGAAATCATATTTTTATTTGTATGTGGAAGCAGGTCATTCAGCTCTGTTCCGGAAAAAGTATATTACTTAATCGGAAATGATCTGAATTTTCTTCATCCTAGCGTTGTTAATTGATGATGGGATCAGTGAGTTGTGTGATATTATCAAATCATTGTGTTTAGGATACAAATGGACTCAATTTTGTTTAACAAAGAGTGTTTTGGCGAAGTAATAAAGCTACTTCGCCTTTGTACWTTGTGGATGAAGAACAATTCTTTATTACATGTCTTTCAGATGAGTTTTATGTGATTGTTTAACGCACTTACGTTGCCCTGTTATGTTTTATAACAGTAAATATTCCGCATAGGGAACAATCACAATGCATTTATTGACGCTAATTGTATATATGTGGTGAAACATATTGCATTTTGCATTTGTAATTTTAATCAAGTGAAGTAATTTAGAAGATTTGTAAATAAACTAATTATTACATATACAAGTTCAAGTTAAAACTCAATTTGTAAGTTTAAAATATACCATGTAATGAAGTTGAGTGTATTTAGTTATTTTCGATATTCCTCGTGCTAGCGTTTGGTATACAATAGTCAAGTACCTACTTTGTTTAAAACTGACAAGAAAGATTTAATTAGCTTTCAATAATAGCAGTGCAATAAACTTTATTATCGGTCAAATTGGCTGGCCAGTCTCATTTGAGACTCACGGAATATAAGATTTTAAAATAATGCGAGAATTTAAAGTGGTTGTGTTGGGTTCGGGCGGTGTCGGCAAGTCTGCCCTTACTGTCCAATTCGTTTCCGGGTGCTTTATTGAAAAGTACGATCCCACCATTGAAGACTTCTACCGAAAAGAAATCGAGGTAAGTGCATAAGTTACAGATTTAACATAATGTGTATATAATTATAATTTCTTTAATAAAATACGCGAAGTATTTCATTAAATTACTGATAGTATAAATAAATAAAAAAAGTCGGTTCCTTTTGTTATGAATTTGTATTATATTACTTGATATAAATATTATTCCTATCTAATGGGAAAAAAATGTATTAACAGTAAATGATAATGCTTAAAAGCGACTCTAACATGAATACAAATAATAATTTATAAAAATTTAAATTTATAATTCTTATATGACTATCAAGGTAAATGTATTTTACTCTGAAGCCTGTGTCTCCTCACTAATTTGTTTGAAAAGCGTTTAAATTATAAAATTACCATATATCATGTATAATCAACTAGTTCATCTAAAATTTAATTTTTATTATTTTTGTTTAATTTCTCACAAATAGTTTATAAAAATTCGATATTTGCACAGTTCCTTGAATTTCGCAACATTAATACAATCTACGACTTTTTTTTAATTTTATACCCAGGATGGATAATACCTTGCTTTAAAATTGTTTTACTTATGATATATGTATATTATATTAATATTTTTTTTTATTTCTCATTTGATATTAATTACAAAATTCTACTGTAATTAATAATAGTAGTTATAGTCAAGTGAATACTCTCTAAAATACCTAGTTTTTTTTTTATTTGAAAACTCAGCTTAATTATCTAAATAGTCCTCAAGAGTGTTTTTAACTATCGCGTTTCTTCCAATAGGGATGATACGATGGCCATTTTTAAAATTTAATGATCTGTAATTCTTTTTCATTGTATTTGGTAATTTTAACCATTTTATCATGAAGCTTTATACTTAAGAACAAAGTTTACACATTCTTCTTTAAGCAAGTTTACACATAATTAAATTTCATTATCAAAATAATAATAAATAATTAAGAAAATCGTCTGCGATGAGACTCACTTTCATCTGAGTTTATAAGCAAACTACTTAAATTGATAGTTTGTTGTGGTTTTTGGTCTGGTGGAATCATCGATCCGTACTTGTTTCGAAAAGAAGCTGGTGACAACGTTATTGTCAATTGAGAGCGCCTGGTTATCAATGAAAACCAACTTTTTCTGGCCGCAATTGGAAGAAGTTATTCCTGACAACATCTGGTCCAGGAAGACGGAGAAAAGTTTGTGGATTCAATGATTTCAATAAATTGTGACATTGAATCTCCAGCAAGAAGTTGTAACTTAACCCCATTAGACCACCTCTTTTGGAGCTATTTGAATTCATTGCTCTTTGAATGTACCATTTATCACTCTTATTGGAAAACCCTTTATAATAAAATACGCATACAATTTTATTTTTGAAATCATTTAATAAACTTATAAATTTAAATTTTACAATAATTCAGGTAGACAATTCACCGTGCGTATTGGAAATATTAGATACCGCTGGTACAGAACAGTTTGCATCAATGAGGGATTTATATATAAAAAATGGACATGGATTTATTGTAATGTATTCGTTGACAAACCATCAAACTTTTCAGGTAATTTGGATTATCGAAATAATTTTATGGAAAGTCTTCAAACTAAAAAAAAAAAATTATTTCAGGATATATCAAGCATGAAAAATGTCATAACAAGAGTTAAGGGAAGTCAACCGGCCCCAATTTTACTAGTCGCAAATAAAATTGATTTAGATTGTCAAAGAGAAGTTTCTACTGAGGAAGGTACGGAGTTAAGATATAATTATATACTGATTTATTTATGTACTATAACATATTTATTATTAGGAAACGCTCTCGCTCGACAATGGGACTGTCCGTTTATTGAAGCATCAGCAAAAGATAGAATAAACGTAAATGAAGTGTTTGCAACTATAGTACGTGAAATGAATATGACACAGGAAAAACGCCAGAAAAAAAGTTACTGTTGTTGTACACTTTTATAGAAATATTAAAAAACGTATTAATATAAAATTAGCTCAAAAGTGTACGAGTAATTGTATTATTTTACTTTAATATATTTTGCTCTTAACTTACACTGATTTTCCAAGGCCATGCAAAATATACGTATATGAAGGTTATTTGTATAACATTAACGAAAGACTGGAAATTCTTTAAAATAATATAAACACTTAAATATCAACATTGACTACCAGAGTCATGATTAGAAGAGTTTAAAAAGTGTATGCGAGAAGTAGAAATCTAAATTTGATAAGTGAAAAATAAAATTTGAAAATTAAGGGAAATAATTCAATTATGACTATACTTTCTTAAATAAACCCCAAATATTTGTATATATGTATATAAAGCCCATATATTGGAAAACTAATGAAAGGCAAAAAGATTTTGTCTCGAATATAACAAGATCCCCTCGTTGAATATATTTATAAATCAGTGCACAGTCATCATCACTCACATCTCACGACAACAACAGTAGAGTAAAGGCATCCACCATAACACTTGGATTTTACTTGTAGAGAAAGTCACATCCGTGAAATGGACGAAGTGTAAAAGCTTGGGTGCCTTCGAATGCGCTTACCCCTTGCCGAGATCTGCGAACTTCGACTCAACTTTATAGCTCCTGTCCAACTAGATTTTTCGGTTTAGTAAGACTTATCAACACATAAAAATATGGATGACGCAAATTCCCCCTTGATGTGTGARATGAGTCATCCCTAAATCCCGCAATCGCAAAGTGGATTGAAATTGAATGTACATATGTACTATGTTTTTATATACATACGTATCACAAAACGATAACAACTTGGGATATAAGCCTAGGCCTTACCGCTACCACAAAAGTGGGATCTACCTAACCGGACCGAATTTTCATCTGGGCAAGGCTTACAGTATTTCTCAAGATAATATGAAAGTCAGTCAATTCAGACATACATATATATTGTATTTCAGTTATTTCTGCCTCAAAGTGATCTATATATTCTAAACAACGTAGCATCAAAAATTCGGAATTGCTTTTTCTCTACTGAGTACGATTCACTTCATCATATTACATACATATGTATGTATAGTATGTACATATATGTAAAAAAAATTAATTTTTTGCTAACAGACATAGCCAAGTAATAACCGAAATTCAAATTTATCATATTATTTTATATTATTACTCACCGATTCAAATAGGACTAGGTAATCAACATAACAGTCTTTGAGCGGATGAAATCTCTTTTATATATTTTCCTTCTGGATTTCAGGTGGCGGTACGTATGTTGATTCCACTATATACATACATATGTAATTTACTTTCGTTTGGTCATGGGAAAAATATATGTATATTATATTATACTTTTAGATGTGCGTATGTATTCACATATATACATACATAATTATAATATTGCAGTACCCGCAGATATCCAAAACATTTCTTCTTTTAGGTAACTAGGAATAATATCATGGCAACAAGCTCTGCAAGTAAAATAATTTAATTTTCCATGACAACAGCGTAAAATTAATTTATGGGAATTTATGTACATGCTTTACAGGTAACAAAGAATTTGCAAGTGATTAATTTGAGAAAGTGTTTACGATGTTACAGTTCAAAATAAAAAAATCCTTTACGTTTTACGTTAAAGTATTCGTTACTTTAGGTGTATATTTTTTGCATTTTCTAAATCATATTAATTGCTTAGAAGCTCCACAAATAACTCTTCCTGGCCAGGGCATAATTGTTGGCACTTATTTAAAAATGTTTCGGGCACAAAATATTAAAGCATATTTAGGAATAAGATATGCACGCGCTTTACGTTTTTCACCGCCAGAATTAGATATGTCTGAATGGCAAGGAGTTCTGAATGCAACAAGATTTGCTCCGTTTTGCTGGCAAAATCCTTCCAATGTAAAAACCACGATATTGCATAACCTTCTTAGAAATAAAGTCGCTGGAGACTATGATATTACCTATGATGAAGATTGTCTGAATTTAAATATTTTTGTTCCAGATGGTAAGAGTTTGCCATAGCTACATACATACATACATGTACATACCATTATATAAAATGTATATATATTTTTAATTGAAACATATTTCAAGGATCTCCTGGTGTTAAAGGATATGCTGTAATATTTTGGATACATCCTGGAGATTTTTCACATGGGTCACCAATAGACATTGAACCCTTCCAGATCGTGTTTAAGCAAAAAATAATAGTTGTGACGTTTTCATACCGCTTAAATATTTTTGGTTTTCTATCAACGGCGGATGGCGAAGCCCAAGGTAACTTCGGATTAATGGATCAGTCTGCTGCGCTTTTCTGGGTGAAAAAAAATATCAATCATTTTGGCGGAAATGAAAATAAAATTACAATAATGGGACACTCCGCGGGTGCGGTTAGTGTCGGATTGCACTTAATATCTGAAGAATGGTCAAAAGGTGGTTATTCAAGGGCAATTATGATGTCTGGAAATCCAATAACTGACAAAGTCGTGCGCGATGCCAAAGATTATACCGAACCCTTGGACTCAATATCAACACTATTTGGCTGTAATAGAAGACCAACGTCAATGCTTTTAACGTGTTTGAGAAAAGTTGACGCAAAAACACTGATTACAAATCTTCCAGAAGTGGAATGGGGGCCTGTAATCGATTATGGCCTTAGCAATACATCAGCTCACTTCATTAAAGACTATCCTCGAAAAATATTCAAAGAAGGAAACTTTCAAAATGTTCCCATTTTAATTGGCGCAACTAATATGGAGGACATTTTTAATTTGGTTGATGATATAACAAATCCCAAGTTAAAGGGTGATGACTTTCTTCATGTTGTTGATGAAATATCTAAACACGACCTTAAAGCTAATACTGAAAGTGATGAAAACTGTACAAATTCTCAAATCATAATCGACGCAGTAACGTATATGTATCCAACACAAGGGGAAGGAGTTAACATTCTTAAACAACTTACAAATTTCCATACGGACCGTATGTATATTGCACCATTATTTTTTATGGCAGATGTATTAGGCAAAGGAAATAAGGTGTTCGCGTATTTATTTAGTGTTCGTCCTCAAACTCAATTTATCGACCTGCCTGAATGGGTTGGTGTACCTAAGTTTTTTGATCAGATATTTGTGTGGGGCGTTCCCTATATGAACAATACCAGCATTCTGAGAGAGTGGAATTCGAGCGACAAGAAAATAGCAGATGTCGTGATGACAATGTGGGCGAACTTCGCAAAATCTGCGGACCCTATTATTTCAAATGTATATGTCAAATGGAATTCCTTTAAAGATGAAAACAATACTGTTTTAATAATAAATCAGAATTTCAATTCGGAACAGGTAAATAATATGCTTACCGTGAGGTTTTGGAACAATTATTATCCGAGTTTAGTGAAGTTTGCCGCTAATTGCTGTGAAGTTGCAAATACCGCAATTTCAATTTTTGTTAACAATAGACATTCAATAACTTTTTCATTCAATGTCGGCATTATTTCCGGACTTATAGTTGTTAATATTTTTCTAATGAAATATGTAGGATGTGTACATGTTATCTGCTAGAATTGTATAATGTAAAAAATAGTAAATAATTATTTATGTATATGCCATCATAATGATTAATAATCATAGCAAATTAAATATAACAACATATGTATTTACAAATAGAGCAATTCAATAACATATCACAATGAAAATATTTTATATGTGAATAGGAATATGTACCAGAATATTTTTATATTAAAAACAAATACATATTTACATTCACTCTACCTCTCTTAAGAATAAGCATACACAAATTAAAAACCTTAATATTATAAATTAATAAATATTTTATTTAATTCATATTGCCTATAAAAAAATATCAATGTATGTATATACATATATCAAGAGTATGCTCTCYCGAAGAGTCCATAAGTCCGAATCTTTCAAAGATTCTGATGTTCTCTGGTTGAATTGAATTAAACGATCATATATACATACATATGTATATCATCGACCCAAAGAAATACCAGTAATATGGACGAAGAAATTGTACCAAGTTTATCGCCTTAATGCTTATTCACACACGTAGACTTTTGTTGCCGCAACTGATAGTTTGCCAGCGAGGTGGTGGTGGAAAAGAAACGAGAGCATCGCGATATTCCGCAAAAAGTTTTGTGTTTGTTCGTAACAATTCACTGCTACGTAGTTCGGCATCTTTTTGAATTTGAAATATAGTATTCTACATGGTTGCAATGGCAGTGAGCTTGAAATTTTGGATAAAATATATATAAGATAATAGAAATGAATGGTCCAAAATCTTCAAAATGTAATCAAGAGTCTTAAAAAATACATAAAAAAGGTGGGCAACACCAAGAAGTAAATTTGCAAAGTTGACACTTCGTTCCATTTCCAAAATTATTTGTTTGCATGCAAAGTCGATTATGTCGTTATCGGTAACGAGATCTTTTGTAGTGTGCTTTGTATACATAAATATATTATTCTCAATTTAATTTCACTTAACATGGATTTCATAGATGATTTTATAGAGGAATATAGGAAAAATCCATGTCTTTGGAAGGCTGACTGTACAAATTTTAAGAATCGTACCAAGCGACAAGAGGCATATTTGAAATTAATAGAAGTAGCAGCAAAGCATGGAGAGCACTACAACATTGAACGAACGAAGCAAAAAATTAATAACTTGAGATGCGCGTTCCGACAACAATTGAAGAAAATCGTAGAATCTAAGAATAAAGGAGAGAAAGATGAACCCTACTGTCCAAAACGCAGATATTTTGAATCTTTAATGTTTTTAAAAGATGAGGAAAATTTGGACAGAAAATCAAAGCGTTGTGGAGTTATAGGACCGTCGAATGGTGAAGAAATTGAGTCGAGTACTATGGAGCAAGATTGCATCGTTGAAGGGATAATTGAATCGCATGCAGTTAGAAACAAATTGACTCAAAATATTTGCCCTTCAGAAAGCACAGAAGCGGATCAGACCACAAAACAACTAACGCAAAATGAAATCTTAGAGGAACACACAATAGAAGAGAGTTTTACAGAATATAGTGACGACGTATACAATAAAATAAATGATTTAATGCCTCCGGAAAGAGGTTTGAAAGATCAAAAATCTTATGAAAGTGAAAAAGAGACGTGTTTCCTGCCGGTATCAAATAACTCCCGAAAAAGATCTTCATCTACTTCTTCGCAACTTTCAAAGGAAATAGAACCCCCCAATAAAAGAATGTATAAATTGGAGGCATCTTCGATAGACTTGGAAAAAATTTTGTCTCTTGCTTGTAAAAGTCATAATAGTAATATAGATGACCATTTCGCGAATTTTGGAAAAGTCATTGCACACAAACTTCGKACGATGGATAATTCTCAAGCTATTTATGCAGAAAAAATTATCACAGATGTTTTATTTCACGGACAAATGAAAATGTTAACTGTATCAAGCATAAAACAATTTTTGAATGTTAATTTCTCAGATTTGTGCGAACCTGTCCGATGTAATAAATAAACTTGTTAGTGTTTGCTCTTGAGAGAGCAAATGAAATACAAATTATTTATTGTATATATAATTCGGGGTCTGATGATGTATGAAATGTACAATACACTTACTTTATTTCAAGTTTTGTTATAAAGATATATTTATTTTCCAACTATTCTTATAATTTAACATCTGTTGATTACCGCTGAAATTATGTGGATAAAACTTGTATAATCCAAAAGGACGAAACGTTCGATACTTTGTTATAAATATATATTTCAGGCTCTTCTAAATTTTAATTTATCTTATACCAGTCCAAAGTATCAGGCTTCGTTGCAGATGCATTCAACATGCTGTGAACATCACTGAACATTTCATTGCAAATATTATCTTCAAGCTAAAATCAATAAATAAAAATTCACCTTATTTAATTATATATGCCAGTTTATATTATGTCACCTGTAGTGAAGATACAAGATTATCCGGACAATCTATGCCACTTAAGGCATTTAGGCTACCTGATTCTAAAAAAAAACATATTGATCATTATAAATAAATATAGATTAATTTGCCATGGCAATGAAAATGTGGAGAAATATGAAATTTCGTGAATGAAATGTGTCAAATTTTCAAAAATCTAGAAAATGGTATTTTATGTGACAAAATCTCGACATAACAAATTCATACACAACCTGAATAATTACCACTTATACAATCCATACTGTCATCAATATTCGGCATTAAATCCGCTGTGGTAGAAAACGTATTTGAGGACAAACTCAAACCGCTATCACTTGATTCCTGCCGAGCATGATTGTCACCGGATAAAAATGGGTCCATTTGAAGGCTGCCATTTTGTCTAGTCAAAGAACTCTAATAAAAAAAAAGATAATAAAAACTAGTTATCTGAATTTTATATGGATTTAACCTGCTCAGAACTTGGTTTAAAATAATCCTGCTCTTTTTCGATATGTTGAATGTTCAGCCAAGATGGACCAGGTTTTTGCGATTTCACCGGTTTTTGCAAAAAATCGGCTGTAAAATAAATTGTTTTAATTAGTTTGCCGCTGATTACGCATATTTAATTTTTAGATGTAAAGATGTTATACAAGTTTTATTTAAATACACATTGTAATTTCTAAGACTTACGTATTCGGGGATCATTCCAAGATGTTGTTCGATTTACGTGGTTAATAAAATAAACATCTCCAGATTCTGTGTAAGCTTGTTCCCATCCCTCTGGTAGAGGGCCCAAGTTATCGGCCAAATTAACAGATTCTTTGCCCTTTAAATTTACTATAAAAAAAAAGAAATTATCTTTGTTGGAGATAAAATTCGATGGAACCAACCATTATGAGAAAGACCGTCTTGAAATATCTGCTGTTTCAACTGAATTCTCGGATCTTCCCATTGCGTTGATTTTGTAGTATGGCTATAATTATAAAAAATTATAAGTAGCATTTTTTATTCATGATCAAAACAATGAAATTTTATGAGTCTCATTTCTGTATACGAATTACTAATCAATTCTTACTTTATTCTAACAAGCATATAAATTTACTTTGCTTCTTTTAAACTACATAAAGTATGCATATAATTTCGGATGAATAAAAAGTATTTAGCTATCATATGTACGTACGCATATACAAAACATAATCATTATCGAAGTGGTATCACGAATTTATTTCTTTTTCGCTAATCAATAGAATCAAAACTTAAGACAGTGAACAAATTTATATAATACGCACAATGCCAAAAACAATAGAATGTAAAAACCTTCTCAGACGAAGTAATATTTTTAATAAAATAGTTAGTTATTTGATTTACCAATTTATCTAAGGTGTATTTGAGAGATTTAGGTATTGCTACATTTTAAAATTATATAAAAATTAAATAAAGTAAATTTGTATCCGAATAGCAATATCACAGAAATGTAGATATAAATTATTTTAAATTTATTATACTTACTTTAAATAATAAATTTGACCATCATTAGTCTTAGCTTGTTCCCATCCCGGAGGCAATGGTCCTAGTTCGTTTTGTAATTGTATAGTACTTACAACATCATAAGACCTTTGTTTCATATGAAATGTTTGAATATTTGGGGCATCCTTAGGCACTGGCTGCTCTCCTTGCTCCATGCGGACTGCTGCACCAGCGTTAACGCTAGGAGGAAATGGGACGGCTCCTGTAGTAAAAACAGGCCCTATTCCATCTTGAAGGCATGCACTCGTTTCCATTACATTTCCTATATGTACATTATATGTTTGTTGAAGCGAAGCTGGGCTACTATGCGCACGCGAATGTGAAATTGACAGCCTATTCGCTGTAACTTGAGGTTGCGTTATTGTCGCAGGAACTGCGGCAACAGAGCTCGTTGATATATTCCCTTGGCTAACATTCGGTTGTGAGCCAGTGTCATAAGCAGAATCAGCACTATTAGCTCGTGAATGTGCAACGGAAGGCGATCGAGATGCTGTTGCAGGTGGTTTAAAGAAAGACTCAGGGAGTTGACGCATTCGGAAAGGCACTTGAAGTGGACATTTTGACTCTGTCGGATTTAATACGCTATCAAATAATGCTTGTAAATTATTATCGGAATCTTGATCTATACGAACAACTAAGTTATTCGACTCTTTAGATGTAGATTTTTCTTTTGCATTGCCTTTATTAAGACTGCCCACTGTTTTGCTTAAAGACATTTTTAATGCAAATAACAAAAAAAAATGTCCACTGGTAATTTATCAAGCACCACAATTCTGTGTTGTGCATGTACCAATTGAGAATCTTAAAATGGCGGTTGTGTGGTTTATTCCAACCTTAGCTTGCTGCCATCGTATACAACCAAACGTAATTATTCGGCTAATAGATAAATTATCTTTCTTCAACTTTTACAATATTCAACTTGAAAATACACTGGAGTACACTTTTCTTCCTATTTTTCAGCTACTTATTGAACTTTTAGCAAAAAAAAATTGACAAACTATTAAAAGTATAGCCTATTATATCGTATAGAGTTACCAACATTATCTTTTTCAGATTACCTACGATCTTTACTTCCTGTTGTTGAAACTTAAAGTAATGTTCTCAATTCAAAGAGCACTGTCCCATTATGTCTTTAATTTTAAGTTCCTGATGTGAGAATTTTATTCAAATTCAGAGGAATCTCCCAACTAACATCAAACTTTTTTCCCTTTAGTCCCACAATTAATATAAATATAATAATGAAACTACTAATTTTTATTGCTCTTTGCTAGTCATTGCTCTCCCTCCAGATAAAAGATGAGATATGCTTCCTCACAGAATATATGTAAACTTTTTTTTACATCTACTAGAACAGTAGAAAAAATATCCATACACGCACATTTGCACTTCCGATCGGTATGGAATATTTTCGCTACACACGTTATGCAGTTCCATTTTATCATGTACACGACGTACTTATGTGCACACCGATCGTAAAATATCGAAAATGTTCGCCTAAATAGATTCGTATGAACACAAGCCCATACATGATCGAAAGCACATTTATATCGTGTATGGCCACTTTTACTGCTAAAAGCACTTAATATCAATTTAATTTATTCTCAAATAATTATCAAAAATGAAATTACAACTTCTTTCAAATAGCTTTTAAAAACTTAATATTTTAAATTACTTAAAATAAATCACGTTTTTGTAAAAAATGTTAAGCTGTTTTATTTTTTTTTTTTTTTTTTTGATGATAAATACGGATCAATTCTGGTATCATATAAACAGCTGTTGATGCAGAAAAGTCGAAGAAATCAAAATTTTCGAGGCGTACACAGTGTGCAGTACTGTCTATTCAAACTGCATGGCTTGAAGAATTGATCAGCTACAGGTAAGTATTTAAAGAACTTATCGACTTTAAAAATGTTGTATGTTATTATTACATCCCTATCGATTGGTGCAAGTTTTTTGACAATGGCATGGTCTTTTAGTAAATATGCCAAACGTTTTGCTGTTATTGGGATAACTATTTGTATATTGGATTACATTGGGACTTTCAAACATTATCACGAGTTAGAATATGAGCGATATTTTGATTATCCAACTGGTCTACCCAGTGATTATAATTACACATATATCCATAATCCTTCAGAAAAATGCAGAATACCACCCAAATTATTGATAATTGTAAAGTCTGCTGCTGAAAATGTTTATCGTCGTAATATTATTCGTCGCACTTGGGGTTATGAACACCGTTTCTCTGATGTGGAAATAAGATGTGTGTTTTTACTTGGAGTTAGTAAAAATGAAAAAACGAATATTATTTCAAAAAATGAGTCTTCGAAATTTAAKGATATTATTCAGATTGATTTCATTGATGCTTATTTTAACAATACCATAAAAACATATATGGGGATGAAATGGTCTCTTAGCTATTGCAATAGTGAGTTTTTTTTCTTTGTGGATGATGACTATTATGTGTCAACARAAAATTTGTTAAAATACGTTTCCAATCCTGGCTTATATCCGAAAGCTGTTCCGAACAGATATATCACAATAAATGAGAAAAATGAGTTATTTTCTGGTTTTGTAATGCAAACACCACCTCATAGACATAGATTCAGTAAGTGGTATGTATCTCTAAAGGAATATCCGTTTGATTTATGGCCTCCCTATATAACTGCAGGTGCGTTCGTCTTAAATCGAAATACTCTATATAAGTTGTTTAGTTCTGGTAGCCATTTAAAAAAATTTAGGTTTGATGATATTTTCTTAGGTATAGCAGCACTAAAGGCTAATTTAACTCTTAAACACTGTGAAATGTTTTGTTTCAATAAGCCAAAATACGAAGGACCTGCAAGTTTCCAATACATTATTGCATCACATGGATTTGAAAATAGCAAGGAATTGGAAATCATTTGGAACGAATGTCGATCAGCTGGTTTTGCATAATCCATATGCAAACCTTAAACATAAATATGTTGCAATAGTGTTTTTATCTGTATATAATGAAATAGTTATTTTTATATCGAGATCGAGATTTGCAAATAAAAATATTAATAATTACCACACAATGGCTTTAATACATATCTTGTTCATTATAAGGAGTATTAGTTAAGGAATCAGAGCAATTAGTCCATTAAAATTAAAAAATATAATTTATTAATAAGTATATTAGGATAATAAAAAATAAATAAATACAAAATATTTAATAGAAAAATACGAATATTTAAGTGGAATTTTATAGTATACCGCCAAAATATCCAAATGTTCGAATAAGATTTAATGATGTATGCCATAATTCTCTGTTCCGCATGTTAATTCTCCTTGATTACTATTCTTTTTTACATCTTTCAAATAACGAAACAAATATTCAAAATGTTTATAAATGTTATATTTTTTAAATGCTCATCTTCATTGTGGTTATTGCATTTCAAATTAATAATTTATTACACTAATATTAATATAACACAAACTTTGGGCAAATGTTTATTTATTTTTTTAGTGTTATATCTTTTTTTCTTAATTCTGTTTTAAAATATTTATATTTAGTTGCGCTATGACAATATTTCTTATAAATGTTTTCCTTTGTCGGTAAATTAACGTTCCCGGTACTTAAACATATTTACAATCATCACTAATCCGACACCACTTTACTTTTGATACATAACTATATGTATAACAATATAAAATTAAAAATGAAAGCGTATTATATCTAATACCAGCGAATGTATTTTTATGAAAATTAACATTATATTAAAAGTGAGATAAATAAACAAAACGTTTGAAATCGTTAATCGCCTTTCAAACGTTTGGCAAATTCTACTTGCTGCAATTCTCTCCATTCCTTCTTTGGTTTCATTCTTTTTAATTGCCCATCCCAAACTAAATCTACTAGTCCGCCTTGTTTAGCTATAACACTTTTGACACGATTTGCAAAGTCTATAGCCGACTCCCCTTCTTGTCTATACATAGGTGGCAAGTACCAAACATCACAAACGATTGCCCAAGATGTCATCATCATATATAAATATTGCATCATCGAGTATTTTGAGCTGTTCCAAAATGCATCTCCAAAACGTGGATCGTATCTGCAAGTGGTAATTAATATAAAATATTTCCAAATATGTGACATTCGAAAACCAGGTTAAATTAATATCAATTTAAACACTTACTTAATTGCTACGGGATAAATAACTCCCCCCACTTCGAAACTTCCTTTCTTGAATTGCATAACTGATGTGTTATTAATACAAGTGCCCTCTGGGAATATCAAAATAGGAGGATTATTTGGGTTTGATACATGTTGTTTTAGACGTTCAGCCACTGCATGACGATCCCTGGCTTCTCCCCTTTCAAACCAAATATGCGGCGATGCCCTTGCTAATGCTCGTTGCAGCAAACCCAAAAATCCACCATGTCGTTGGCCAATCTTGGAAAAACGTAATAATTTAATAGTTTTGAGTATATAAAGGGTTAGAACAAGACATAGGGAACAGGTAGTAGAACAAAAAACACAAATGAAATGAATTTGTATCTTCAACAAAATGAATCGTCTGTTCTGTGCTACTAACAACATTGGGATATGAAAGTTGAAAGTCTTTAATTTAGCAAAGATAAAGCACAAAAATAATCAAATCGCTCAGCGACATATGTACATACATATATTATATATTTTTTATATAAATATACTATGACAACTTGTTGCTTTATAAATCGCACATATGAACATATGTATGTCTATATGACTTTTAGAGTCGACCGATCATAAAATGTTGGTGGTTAATTGACTTGCTTTAGAAATAAACAAACTTTCATTTAACATTAAATATCTGAATAATACATGCAAAGAAATGGTTTATCTGATTTATTGATCTACTATATATGAATCTTTTAAAAATTAAGGGTGCCCGCAGAGTGGACCCTTAAAGCCAAGCCGAGCGAATTTTCTCATTTATGCAACACTCGACAGGCACTCTTAAGACAGAAAATTTAATTTTCATAAAGTATTTAAATATAAACGAAATATTTACAAAGAATAAAGTACAATGTAATATAACATTTGATGAAAACAAAAAATCATAAAATAATCCTAGATAAAAGTTACATTTAAGTATATATGTATGTACATATATGCATATCAGCGATTCTCAGAGCGACTACTTTTAGAATCTACATACATATATATTTTATGACTTTCGATTTTTTTTTTTCGGTGACAAAAATAACTAATGAGGTGAAGTTACAAATGCATAGTACAGACTTGTAAGTTTTGAAAACAGAACAGGAACAAATGTTTAAACGGCAGTCAACTGACAAAATACTGTTATGCACATTATATATGTGTATAGTTCCTAATTACTATTAATTTTGTTAACTAAAGAACTTTTTTATGAATAATTGTTTTATGGCTATTTTTGTGAGAAACATCTGCACTTTGCCATTAAATAAATAATATAATATGTTTAAGTATAATTACATACGACGGTATATATGTTATTTCATAAGAATTCAGCCTGTTTGACACCCCATGTTGGGTTTTAACATTGAAGATTAATAAGAAATTTATTGAACACTTACCAGAGAATAGGTTTTATCACACATAAGTACTAACACATCAATTGGGCTGGTATGATTTGCCACACAAATCCCATTTGTGGGTCGGTTTTCCACATTATGATAGTAAATAACGGCTGAAATTGCGCTGGACAGTACCGAAAAGCAATGACCAAGCACTTGATCTACCATTCGTCGTTTATATTCACCATCTTTAATATATCCAACTATCGCCGTACAAACAGTCAACCAAACTACCTAATGAATTGCACAGAACACAAAAGCCATTTACATTAACACGTACACAAGCAATTGACGGAACAATTTGACATAATGTAAAATATATATGAATAATAAGAAATTGTGAACACCTGAATTATGACATATAACAAATTGTTGATGATTGCCTGCTCTTAAAATATGTAAACCAGTTGGAATAAATGAGTTTTCTCACCAAAGAGAAAGTACAGTCAGTTGAAAGGATAGCGACGTCCAAGGGAGATGTGTGGTTCGCTACACAAAAACCAGAACCTTTTGGTTTGTATTCTGTATTGTGGAATGTAATTACTGCTGATAAAGATCTAGTCATTATGCGGAAAGTAATTTTAAAAGATAAATCTGCACAAGGATGTCGAAGAAATTCGAAGGGGATCATCGCAACTAGACTGTTAGCAACAACTGCAACATACACCTAAAGATATAGCATATTTTAAGTTAGAGTTAATATAAAAACTATATATACTATTCATAATAACCACTGCTATAACATCGACAATTTTATCAGAGTTTTTTCTGTGATTTTATTTTGCTGCTGTTGCATGAAGCATTCAAGAAATAATTTTAGGAATTCCTGAGGTGTCAGTCCGTTATGATATTGTATTCATTGTTCATTATGATATCAAAAACTATAATTAATTGTATTCCATATCYCCACCTTTTATTTAGTCAGGGCATCGATACCGTTATTTAATATCAGTGAACGAACCCTACGAATTCTATAAAACTATGCAGTAATAACTTTAAATTATTTGGGTTTYAATGATTTCGCATGTGTAGATATTTGACTTTTATTTTTTGTAATTTTGTTTAGTCAAATAATATAAGAGACCTACTGACATTTTGCAGAATAACTCTGACTCTGACTCTACCATCTTACCATCACATTTTTGTTCAGTCGAATTTTTAGCAATTATAACCATAATTTTAAATGACTTAAAGAATAAACATTATGTAATCGCTTATGATTCGAAAGTCAAGTAACTAATAGCAGTGCTGAACATTTTCGCATATGCGTATTAGTAAAGTAAAGTATTCAACATTAACACCAGTTTTTAATATCTTGAAGGGCCTTAGCATAAAAAGCAATTGATAATTGAAAGATGATAGGAATAGATAAAATAAACTATTTCAAAAAATTAGAAGTAAACATATGAAAATTCGAAGTATCGAATTTCAAAGTTTGTCTAGGCAAACTTGGGAGTTTTTTTTAGAAGATGTCTTTATGACAAAAATTAAACCATATTTCATTAGGATAAAATGTAAAGGAAATTGATTTTTTAAGATATTATTCATGGCAAAAATTTTAAAATCTATCATTTGAATCGATGTTTTACATAATATAATAAATTTGTGCCACTACAATATTAGTAATCAGTTATAAAATAATTCAAAAACTTACACCAATAAAGCAAACAAAAACTCGTAGAGGCATCAAAATGAAGTACCGAACAGCGAAACCTGTCATCCATATTAATGTTATCTTCCACGATATAAACTCATAGTGGCGATTTGTACGTGTTAACAGATTCCAGCTTTTTAATTCCTCGGCTTCAAAACGGGAGGTTACTTCATCTTCGATTATTGATTCAACCCCTGCTTTGATGTAATCTAGGCATTTCTCCAAGTTAAATCGCATTTCTTCCTGGAAATATTAAGCTTTTTTTTAAATTATATATTACCAGTAGCTTAATCATCAAAATTCCTTGGAATATACATGCATACATAGATAAAAAATATAATGCATTGAGTTATCTTTTTAACGTTTTGATGATAAAAAATTTTCAAAATGTATTTTATTAATAAATTAARTGGTATCTGATTATAATCACACGAATTTGCATACTTATAGGATTTCTTAATAGTTTTAGTTTATTTGGAGCACTTACATCTTTTGGAGAGCTTTCAATATCAGAAGCCGCGGGTTCATTCGATGTAGGAAGAAGGACGCTATCTCTACTAATCAGTGTGTTGCCATTTGTAGTGGGTATGGTTCTTCCCGTTTTTTTGCGAAATGTTAAGTTAATCTCATCAAGCTTTCTGTCCTGTGAGTTATTAAAAATTGCGTCACCAACTAGTTTTTGACGCTCTTTTGCTGCAGACTCAATGCTTAGGCGGCCGAACTAAAATTTACACATATTAATCCAAATATAATAGAATTATTCAAGGCAAAATCTATCCGAATTATATTGTGGCATAAAATTTATCTTGAGCCGTATAAGTTAAAAGTCCATTCTTTTTTCTTAACAAAGTTATCAGTAAAAACGTTATATTGTACCTTGATCTATTCTTATCGTAATTGCTAGTAAATATCTAAACAATTCACAACTTACCTCAAATATCTTTAACAAAAGTTTTACGTATGCTCTGCGTACCCCGACGGATTTATTCACAGCAGACAAAATAATCATAAACGAAATAAATACAATAAAAGGAATGCAGAAAAAGTCCAAAAGCGCTGCCCAAAACATTTTTCCCTCCTTTATTTGACAAACAAGATGTAACTCTCGTTAAATACTATCCAATCAAGAATCAACTTCAACTAAAATCTCGAGAAATTATTTCTGTCGAACAGTAAACATCTTGCCAATATCAGTCTTTAAAAAATAGAGTAGTGCTGCCGGGCTGACACAATTATTAGTAACCTTTATGACTTTAATTACTGTTGTGATATTCATAATTTAATTGAATGAAATGTGAGAGAATGGTTATAATAAAAATCACCTTTGCTCTCTACCTTCCATAAAAATTAGAATAATAAATATATATTAATTTATTTTATGTTACTGTAGTAGCATGAATTTTTTATATTTCATATCAATATATTTTATAATTTTGTGGAAACATTAATTTAATTTATTCTCATTTTCTGGTGGACAAGTTGTCAGATAAGATTAACTAAGATCTAAATTAAAATATTATTTACCATCATCGGCTGAATTTCCTGATCGTCTGAAATGATTTCAGAGTACTTTTCCTGAAAGAAACCGGATATCCCATTACAATAATCGAATACCTTTCATATCGATAAAATAAATGTTATTTGCAAATTTCGATAGATTTATTTGGTCGAAACTAAATTAATGTGTTTCGTATGCCATATGCGGTGTTAATTCGTTAGAGGTATTATATTAGTGAAGCAATGGCTCAAATATATTTATCGCTTGTGCTTATACAGCTAAGCTTTTGGAAATCCCACATGTCTTGCATTTTGGTTGTATTAAAATTGATATGGGCTATGTTTTAGTTCTGAAAACCCTCTTACGTTAAGCAAACTTTCTTGATGACGTTCACCTCTTAATGAATTCATTAGCGATGCTAATATCACTTTCCAGTATTTAGTGCCAATGATCATCACGAGTAATTTCGAACGCAATTATTATTCAAACATTGACGTGATAGAATTACTACTAAAGTAAATAAGATTGAATCTAAGATTTACTATTGACGGAGTGGTCAGCATGTAAAAGATTTTATTTATGGTAATCACATTTTAGACGGGCAGCAAGTTTTGATGTCTTACATTACACCTCAAAATAAATCGATAAAATGAAAAATAAATGTATTAATGTAAAAAAAAATTTATTGGCGAAAATCTATTTTTGTTTTTCAACTCTTCATCTAATACTCTTCAAATTTCTGTTTTTATTACTTCATAAATTATTTTTTGAAGTTATTCAGTTATTGTAGTTAAATGAGTTGATTGAACTTAGCTATAATAGTGTTTATACACTACTATAGTATTATTTTTTAATTTACTTTTTACGTAAATTCAACAGAAATCTGCAGGTAGATAAAGTCAGACGTTTCAGAGATGTTTACTTGTCCAAAGCAGTGTTGGTTTTGAGAGCGATGACACATTCTTCACCACATGATTTAAGGACTGTGCACTATAATCAAAAAGAAACATGAAAGAATTGGTATCAAATTAGTAAGGAGGAGATTCACTTACCAAAAGATCTTTTCCATTATCAAAATCAGATCTTAAAGAATTTCCAAGATCGCCCTCTGGTACCTTCAAATCTTCACGTATTTCTCCATTATCTGACATCAGAGTGAGGAATCCGTCATCACTTATATCAGTCAACTGATAATCCTCCCGTTTAACGTGTGGCACATCCATATTATGGGTTGAAGGGCAGATATCTTCATATCTGATTTTAAAATATTTCATATTATAAAGTTTATCAGTTTTATTATTTCACTTACTTCTTATTTGTAAAAATATCAATGCCAACCATATGGACCTTAGCATGACCATGTTTGCCAGTTTTTGAGGTAGACATCTCAACTATTTTGCACGGTCGTCCTTTCAACATAACAAATCCGTTCTTGCGTAAAGCCGAGCATTGCATCGGATATGTTTGAGAAGCACCAGAATCGCCAGTTTCAAAATGATGATCATCCATTTCGGCCATTTTTCCCAGATATTAGACTACCGCGTACCAAAAAAATATCTGAAAAATTTAGAAATAAAATATTTACGTATTGCACCGGTAGCGAATATTCAAAGCGGTTTCATTACATTAAATAATGTTTACATGTGATATTTTCGAAAATCGTATATTAAGCTTACTAATAAAACATAACTGTATATTTATCAAAAAACGTACTAAGAAAGCATTTCATTGTGTATGTACAATAAARCTAATATTTAACCGAACGATATACAGCGTCGCCGTCAAACAGTATTGCTTTAAATGTTTCTACTTTAGTTATGTTCTTAATTTTTSTAGTCTTCCAACTACAATTTTATACTTGCTCATTAACGTCAAGTACTCAATACATAGTCAAAGAAAATCCTAGCGTACAAAAGAAATGCCACTATTTAGAGTCCCCATTCGTCTCAGTAACACAAACAAATTTCACTTTTTAGGATTCATTTCCACCTTCAAACGTGACAGCATTTTAAATATTACATTTATACTTTAAACTGCATTAAAAATATCACAAATTTCGAAGAGCTCGATACTCACATGTGATTTAAATGATAGCCTTAAGCAAAGAGAAGAAACGGCACAACCCTGCTCTTGTCCACGAAACACTTGAATGAGTAATCAAGTTAGTGTATCCGGTCAATAAATTGCATTAAAATGGCGCAAACAATGCTTCGGTGTAATTCAAGCATGACTGTTCAAGCATCGCCTTGTACACTCATATAATTTTGCACAATTATAAGGTCTTCTGGATCATCAATGTTTGCATAATCATCAACAAATAATATTTAAAAACGATTTGAAAAATTATACTTTGTACAACCTCACACATTTATAGATAATTAATTAAGTTTCATTTATATAGTTTTTTACGAGTGGTCGATTTCAGTTCATCTTTTGCTTTTATCTCCTTGAGAATTCCTAAAAAACACTCAAACAACTGATTAGACTTCGAGTAAATTTTGAGAAACAAACCGTACAGTGATACGGTATCAAGTCTGTAAATTTGAGATTTTAAATTAGAGGCAATTTTTGAGATTTGAAACTGTAAGTGATAGTCCACACCAGACCAGAATCGCCAGTTTCAAAATGACGATCATCCATTTCGGCCATTTTTCCCAGATATTAGACTACCGCGTACCAAAAAAATATCTGAAAA